ACAGCTATGTGTGAAATAACCACAGCACACCAACATTAAAACCTCATACCATCTATATTATGCTTTGTAGCCTCAGGGCCAGGACAGCTTGCTATCATTAGCAAGTTGTTTCCACTGTGTTGCATGAGAGTGCTAGTGCATGCTTGATCAAGCTTCCTCTGGGCCAAAGGCCAAGGATTTGTGGCCCACCGATTACCTTGGTTCAAAGAGTGATTGAGGTGTGGACATGGACGAAAGAGTTTATATGAGTTAGTAGAGGGTCAGCACCAATGCTTGTTTCCTAGCTAACATCAACAATTCAGACAAAACTCAAGACTTTCAAAAACCAGCAAGTGTTTGAAAGGACATCCGTTTGCAATCCGATGTGGATTCTGATCACAGTATGATTTATATGCAATGCTAGGTCCTCTGCATGTTAACCATTTATAAATGCACATTATTCTTAGAGATAATGCAACCAGAGACAGCTCGAAGAACATTGTCGCCTTAGGCTTGCTCAATGGGAGCTTAAAGACAATTCATATTCAGTCTACGCTGTCCTCAAGACGACCCCTAGGAAGTCTTTCTTTCGCCTTTCCACACTTTTTGGGGTGTAGGCCGTCAACTAGGGCTCGCCGGGCATCTCTATCTTGGGCTTTCCTTTGGACCTCGCTCCAGGTGTAACCTTTCTTTCTGCAATCCAACGCAAGGTCTCGGCGCCAGGTGTTTCTTGGCCTTCCGCTTTTCCTACCCTTACTTCCTCCCCTTTTCTTTTTTCTCTAGGTAGTTTAGGAAGTCCCGAACAGAATACACTCTAAAAAAAAACACTGGGTTAAAATCAACCCAATTTTGGTTGTTTTTAACCCAGGGGCTGGGTAAATATAGGACAGAAAAGGGGTTAAAACAGAACGTTGGGTTAATTGTACCCAGCAAGTTGGGTTGTTTATTTAACCCAGCATAATGGGTTGATTTAACCCAGTATAGTTGATTCATTTTGACTATAATACTAAAACAACACTGGGTTGTTACGTCTGACCCAGGAGCTGGGTAACACAAAAACTACCCTACTACTGAAAAAATGACCCAAAGGGCTCAACCCAGGATTTGGGTAGAAAAAATAACCCAAGATTTTTTAGAGTGTACACTGTACGGACCTCCAGGAGCAACAGTGGAGGAGGAACATCAGCCTCAACAGACTCTGCGGATAAAGAAGGAGAAGAGCAGTGAGGTTTTAAAAGGGAAACATGCAAGGTTGGATTGATTCTGTGTTGGGAAGGTAACTGTAGCCGGTAAGTATCATGGTTAACTTGTTCTCAAATCATGAATGGACCAATGAAATGAGGACTTGGCTTCTTACAGGGCTTCCCCAGCCTGATATCCCGAGTGGAGAGCCAGATCTTCTGCCTGGGCTGGTACATTGAATGTGTTTGGGTTCCCAAACCCTCTCACTCTCCTAGAACCAGTGGCTGATTTGCGGTGGTTTGGCAGGTTTGGAAGGAAGCGGATCGAACTGTTTTTCTGGTGTTGGCTAGACTGGGTAAATCCAGCCTGATCTTCCGGCAATTTCATTTCGCCCTGCAGCTCAGGCTGGAAACCTGTACATTCTTTTATCCTGCTTCCGTTACAATTTTGCGGGGACCAATCACAAACTGGCTTATCCACCTGGCGTGCTATTGGTGGGTTTAATCCAATCCAATTCCTTTTAACCTCTCAACGATGCTCAATGGCTTCTTTTTGATTTAGCAAACAAATCGCTCGAGTGGGTGTAAATACCACTCTTTTTTATGTTTTTTTTTTTTTTTTTTTGCACAACCTACTAAAAAACACTGATCAATGTTTAAAAGAAACCAACACGTTTGTTGACACGTTTCCTGCCTGGAGTTTTCGCTGCAAAGTACGTCACCCGGATCGTTGGTCTGATTGGTTGAAGGACTATACAACTGCCTACAGAGTCATTTGAACTGTCTCTTGTGCAGTAGAAAAGACATAGCAGACTCCCCAGACCAATGTTCAATCTTAAAAGATTGAGCTTGGTCTGATGATAGCATGTCTGCAGGAATGTCCTGATCTCCTGGATCTTGTGTTCTGTCTCCACATTCATTTTATGTTGGTACCCTGAAAAGAGGCTGACTGACACACCTTGAGGGGAGAAGAACCCTGGACACAAACTGTGGACCGCAGTACGACACTGTATCAGCCCTTCTAACATGCCTCAGTCCTGGATGCCATGTTGGAACAGTGTTTCCGTGATCTCTAGGGCAGTGGGTAGGGCTTTGAGTGGTACCAGACCACATGCCTAAAAAACCTGTCGACTGGCACTAACACACAAAATCCACCCGAAGGTAGGTGTGACCATGGGCGACAAGAAACAGACAGAAGCAGGAGTTTCCAGCATAAACATCACGAGGATTTGGCCATGGCACAGTTGGGGCATGCTTGAACAAATGGACGTCCTGGGACATACGGGGCCGCCAGTAGTGGTCGCAAAGGTGAAAGAGGGTGTGAGTGATCCCTTTACGTATCTCTGTGGGTTTTGCAAATACTTAAACAATGAGAAATATTAAAAAGAACTTGTGACCAAATCTCATAACTTCATTGGCCCTTCAAGACTGTCAGTCAGACCTCATAACTCCGCCCATCTCTATTGTGATTGCACAAGCAGTTTGGAGCATCTCTGCTTATTTATGATGCAAGGATAAATAAAGAATTGGTTCTTTGAATAAGTACAGCATTTTCTTTACTTAAGAAACACTTTATATGTGAAGGGTAATCTTTTACGTGTTTGAGGAGCGGAGAAGAGCATCTTGCATTGGTCATTGAGTCACAGCCAAAATAACCTGTGCGTAGTGGTTCATTATAATGTGAGATTTGGGTAAATGTATGGGCTTTTTCAGCTCATTCGATCTATTTGACAAAATAAGCTCATGCAATTTACATATGAATGCGACCGGAGACGACGGAAAAACATACAGAGATATAGCTCTTGGGTTTGACCCAAACATGGGTTGAAACAACTCAGCATTTTTTTAGAGTGAAGCTCCATTTTGCTCAACCAGAGGTAACGTCTTAAGCCCAATTCTGACGGGATTAGTTTAACATGGAGAGGTGGGGCAAAGTAAATATTAGCAGAGCTCTCAGTGATTTTAGTCCCGTCTGGAAAAGTTCTGGAAAATGGTCCGGAAAAATCACCTCAGGTAATACTAATCCCGTGCGAATAGACCCGCTGTAAATATACTTAAATATTCTGTCATTTCGTGTTTTAAAAGTATTTTTAGGCTCTTGAAGAAGCATTCAGTTGCGTTCTAGAAGCCGGGATCAGAAAGAAGGCCGAAAGCACTTGTTAGAGGGACGAAACTTCTTTTAGCGAAGTTAATTAATACATCGTTCGACAGCAGGACATAACTGATTTATAAATATAAATATAGGTTATATGTGTTTTCTGACAGGAGGGTGACGGTGGGTGTAAATCGAGTTACTCACTTCTGCTAGTTTTACTGAGATCTCTTATCCCATGCGAATTGGCCATTATTATTACAGACGTCCTGTGGTAAAATCTACCCTTGTAAAGCTAATCCCGTCCGAATAGGGCTTTAAAGCAGGAACACAGATCTCCTGGGAGGGGTAACTGGGTTGCTCCGGACGGGTATATTCGGATAAGTGCGACAGATTTCACTTACTGGAGTTTCAATGGATGTGCCGCACACACACACACTCACTGCTCAGCGCCTGATTATTGTTATTATCTCTTACAAATGTAAAATGGACTTACATTTCCATCTGTCTGCTGCCTTGGACATGTGACAGTAACGGGAGCATTTAGTGAAAGCATTGTAGAAATATCAGGAAGAGTTTTGATTTACTGTATACATCAATGTTATCATCTGTAATTACTTTCACATGAAGCTTTTGCATTGATTTGCATAGTTTTGCAGCCTGGAATTTAATGACACATAAAGTCATACGAGCTAACAAGTTAAACTGCATTCCCTTTTAAACAATTATAGAAGCCAACTAGTTTCATAACTATTCGACTAGTATGTTATTGTGTGATTCTGTGGTAATTTTAAAGATCTAATCTTTGTCGTCAAGTAGAAGTCATAATTGTGAGATGAAAAGTTTGAAATTATTACTTAAAAACTAAAGACACACAAAGTTGTGACAAAAAGTCAAAATTATGACTTAAAGCCTTAATATAGACATTGAGTTTAAAGTTTGAAGTTAAGTTTAAATCACATTAAAAAGTCAACATTATGACTTAAAAGTCATAATTATGATAAAGAATTATGATATACGTGAAAATTGTGACAATAGTATGTCATAATGTCAAATTTCATCTCCTAAATGTCAAAACTATGACATACAAAGTCGAAGTTATGTGGTGGTTTGGCTGTATATTAAATTGTATTTTGTATCCTTTTTTGTATTGAACTGATCATTTAATAAAATCAATTGTTCACAAAAAAATTAAATAAAAAGTCAGTTATGACATACTAGTCAGATTTATGAGATGAAACATCAAAATTGACATACTAAGTCATAATTATGATGAAAAGTATGGAATGAAGTCATACTTATGAAAAGTCATAATTATACATTTATACATTTATTATGACATAAAAACCTCAAAATTATGACATAAAAAGTTACACATTATGATTTAGCACATCATAATTTCGACTTTTTATGTAATGTCATAATCATGATTTACCAAAGCATGATTTTTTCCCTCATTTGTGGCGCATATGGCCTTCCATATCAGTCTCTGGGGGGACGGGATACTTCTGAAAATGCCACAGAAAAGCACCATAACGGTATTGTTAAAGGGTGGGTGTTCAAAGCTGGCGTGTTCTCGTAGGAAAAGAGAGAGAGAGAGAGAACGAGAGAGAGAGAGAGAGAGAGAGAGAGAGAGAGAGAGAGAGAGAGAGAGAGAGAGAGAGAGAGAGAGAGAGAGAGAGAGAGAGAGAGAGAGAGAGAGAGACTCCACCCTCCGCGTCACGGTTTGGAATCGAAAGATCTCTCGCTAAAAGAAGGAGGGCTGATGTGATTCTGAATGAGAAAGTGAGGGATGTGGGACGGTCGCTAACACTGGACAGGACCCGTGTGTGAATAACCCGACGGAGCAAATACACTTTCCGCAAGCCAACCACCGAACCAGAGCGTTAACATGGGGAATCGCGTAGTTCGTGAAGATTTCGAGTGGGTTTACACAGACCAGCCTCACGCCGACCGGAGGAAAGAGATTCTGGGTGAGTCTCGGTTCCCTGACACGATCACTGACTCTAAAATACACTATATAGCGCCTATTGTACATATTAGCGTTGTTTTTCTCTGTTTGGCATGGTTTTCTTATTTTCTGCCTGTCTTTAGTTGTTTTAAGTTGTAATTAAAGACGGGTATTGTGAAGTGTTTGTGTAAAGATGAAATAGCTCGGGCTGACCGACCGTTATGTGAGGGCCGCTCCCAACATGCACTTCGCCACTGAACTATGCATGGCATCGCATGGCCTCTATAATATTTCATTATTATTAATATTATTTCATGTAGGCCTATTGTATTATGTGATGTTTGTTGAACTATCGTATTACACACGAGGCCGTGACAGCTAACTAGTTAAACCTCGTCCTATTTTTAAAGATTAGCCGCTAACTGGTTTCATAACTGTTCGAATATAACGTTAGTAACGTTACGCTATCGTGCGATTCTGTGATTATTTTAAAGATTTACTCTGGTTTATGTTTATTCAGTCATCAATGATTTATTATTAAGTGGCAAAACAGTGAGTTTGCTGGTGAAGTGATAGACTGGCTGATGATAGTCACATGAGGAAAGTTAGCTAATGCTCGCGATCCGTTTCTCACTTCATTCATTATGGCTTTAGAACATGGATATCTATCTATCTATCTATCTATCTATCTATCTATCTATCTATCTATCTATCTATCTATCTATCTATCTATCTATCTATCTATTCTCTCCATTCTTTCTAATCTATCTAATCACATTCAAATCTCAAGCTATTAAAACGAATTAAAATTTTCTGGTCAGGCATTTTATTTTATTTTTTACCTAGTTATGAATGTAAACGAACACTCATGATATACTGAAGGTACAGAAATCCATATGCTGTGTTAATAGTAAAATATGACTCGAGAGTGTGCAGTTACTCATAAACCTGCTTATGAATAAATGTGGAAAGAGTTTATGATCCAGCGTTATCCCTATACAGTCTGGATGAACATTACAGCGGGTTTATCACGTTTCACCTCAAGCATTCTCTGTTTAATACAAAACGTCAAATCATGAATTATTCATAATACACACACACACACACACACACACACACACACACACACACACACACACACACACACACACACTAGTCATCTGGTAAATTATTCTGTAGCTTCTTAATTATAGGGTTCAACGGGGCCTAAAGGAAAATGTGCTTTTCACTGCTCTCATAGTGAATGATTGCAGAGCAAAATGTTTTTTTTATTGAACATTGATGGATCACATTTTGTAGGAAATTAAGTCATGAAAGTGGTATAAATCGTATAAAAATACGAGGTGACGCCCAACACTCGAGGTAAAAAGCATCCTGTATTAATACAAAATACTTTAACTAAAGTAAAATGTTTTGCAGGATAAGTTAATAATAATCACTTCAGCAATGTTTGTACTATTTTCTAAGTAAAATATTACATTTTTGTTTTAATAAATGTACCTTCATTAAAATGTTCATTTAAAAAAAAATACAGAAAGAAATCATTAAAAAAAGTAAAGATGTATTTAATATGACTTTACGGAAGTACCAATAAATAGGCCTATGTTTTATTTTATGATTAATATAATATTTTTAAAATGATGGTTTCATTATGATTATGGTTTCATTATGATTATGGTTATTATCTCTAAGTTGGACACCCAACTTAATAAATCATTAACCATCTGAAATTTATCAAGTCAACAAATGGAAAAGTCAGCCGGCTGTTCATTATCATGTAAATTATTGTGCCTCCACAAATACCATACTCTCACATATTCTCCAGTTATTGAAAAGCTGTTCCTTTAATTACCTTGTGCAAAACTCAAAATCATTAACAAGACCTTTGTCTCAAAATATATTTAGTAATTTGATTGATTTTGATTAGCTGTAGCCTATAAAATTTTAAAAAACATTAAATATTAGACCAAATTATCGCAGGTTTGACTTTGCGTTTGCATTGCTTGAAATTGAGTCCAGAATCGGGCAAATGTGTAGCCTGGTTAAAACCAGACCATTCTCAGTTGTAACTGAGTTATGGTCTGGCAAAGCGAGGGGCGTCACCAACGGACGTCGCGGATAGACCTAAACCCAATCAGAGCGATGAAGGAGATGACGTATGCAGAGCGGCGGAGACACATCTCCGAGTGTTGTTCTTTGCTCGGTTTTTAACTAAAAGGAAACGTTCAAATGGCTTAAAACAGACGCGATAGCTGATTGGAACGAGTGATGTTCGACGGCTGCATCCATCTTTGTAATGTAGGCTACAAAATCTGCTTCAAAATCCCAGCGCTGTCGTCATCGTGTAAAGCCCGCCCCAACGCTTCTGATTGGTGCCGCGATTTCGGCGGATTGGAAATGGGCTTGAATGAGCTCTTTGCCAGACTAACTTTCAGAGCAAATCTAAATTTGCCGGAAGTTGTCTGGGTTTTCCCAGGCTAGCAAATGTCCACATGCGAAGTGAAATGAGGATGTTTCTGCACCATCTACTGGTTTAAAGGAGAATAAAACCAAACGTGCCTGTTATCCGGGAGCACCTTCAGCCCCGTTGTACCGTATCCATGCTTTTAGTTCACATGGGTTCTGGCACATGCAGACACTGAAGAATAAACATGCATAATTAAACACACAGTGCTGTTCACACAACATGTCACCGGCTCACATGTTGAGCAAACTCTCTCTTAATGCGAGTGTGTGTTTGTCAGCGTTGGGGACGTTCCTTCCAGTGTGCAGACCTGTGCTGACATGTAGCTTGTGTTGTTGCTAACCCTGAAGCTGGCTTGATCCAGACGTGTCTAGGACTGTCGGTTCCTCTGCCATTCTGCTTGATTTCGTTTTATAAACCCTGGAAGAGCCTCTTGCTTAAATGCTTGCATTATGAAATGCCTTGGATGAAAAGTGCACACATTTCAAGTATACTATGTGGTTTGCATTGTGTTTTCTTGGGAGTTTTAGGCAAATGACGTATGCTTCAGGGTTTACCATATAAAGTATAAAGCATACGCGCGAGGAGGGGCCGGCGCTACACGCCACAGACACATGAGCCCTGCTCCAGATCCTGATGGTGTCGAGTTGCATTGTCATGGAAATAGACATCATTTGAATGAACTTATCTTCCACATCACACTGTTTAACAATGTTGTCTTTTGTTTTATTTTGGCAGCTAAATACCCACAGATTAAGTCTCTAATGGGACCTGATCACAGGCTGAAATGGATCGTCTGTACGATGGTTGCCGTCCAGTTTTTGGCCTTCTATTTGGTGAAGGACCTGTCCTGGAAATGGGTCTTGTTCTGGACATATGCATTTGGGAGTTGCATGAACCATTCAATGACATTAGCGATTCACGAGATCTCTCACAACACCGCTTTCGGGAACATCCGCGCCAAATGGAACCGTTGGTTCGCCATTTTCGCCAATCTGCCCATTGGCTTGCCTTACTCGGCCTCGTTTAAGCGCTACCACCTGGACCACCATCGATATTTGGGTGGAGATGGCGTGGACGTTGACATCCCCACTGACTTCGAGGGCTGGTTCTTTTGCACCCGCTTGCGTAAGCTCATCTGGATAATGTTCCAGCCGCTGTTTTACGCCGTTCGTCCCCTTTACATCAACCCCAAACCCATCAGTCACCTCGAGATCATGAACACGGCCATACAGCTCGCGTTCAACGCCCTCCTCTACTGGTTCTGGGGAGCCAAGCCCTTGGTCTACATGATGATGGGCTCTTTGTTAGGAATGGGTCTCCATCCCATCTCAGGACACTTCATCGCAGAGCATTACATGTTCCTCAAAGGCCATGAGACCTACTCTTACTACGGGTCCCTCAACCTGCTGACGTTCAACGTCGGGTACCACAACGAGCACCATGACTTCCCTAGCATTCCCGGACGCCGACTACCGATGGTAAGATGAGCTATTCTGCTTCATGTTTACTAGGGCTGTCACAATATATCTCAATACACAAATGCACCAATACGTGTCGTGGATAGTTCGCGCAAAATGAACATTTCTGTGTTAGAAGAAATTCACGTTTTCAGAGTTTTAGTGTCAGTACTACATTAAACTACTATAATGTTGAATATGATGTATAATAATGCAATGAGGGAATATTTGAAAGATGAGTTTTAAGGGATTAATGATTGACTACAGGGGGACTTTACATATGTACTGGGGGCATTAAAAATGGTCTGAGTTTCAGGGCTGAGAAAGAATATAACATTCCTAACATTGTTCTGCATTACAGAAAAAATACCAAACTAGAGAAATAATAATGAGCCTTGAAATATAAATTAAGCTTTGACTGGCAAAAGTAATGATAATGAATGTGTTTGAAACAAAAAGCAACGAGACTGTATGAACATTTTAATAGTTCCTTCGTAAACTAGTGTTGTTCAGTTTGCTATCATTTGAGGAATTTATATGATTCTTATCTGTAATTGTTATAGACAAGAATCACGAAATGGCTTCATAGTCTACTGGACTAGTCTAGTCTAAAGTGAAAGATTAACCAGCTGGCTCACGCCGACTGAAGACATGCTAACAAAGCAGTTAATCGTTCACATCAGGACATCAGCAGCAGCCAATGGCTCTGACTAGAGCATTGCTTTATAAGCATTTCTCTGTAAACTGCCTCGGGTGTTTAGTCTAAGAATGCGTTCCCGTTGTTTCCTCCAGGTGAAGGAGATCGCAGGCGAGTACTACAAAGATCTTCCCTGTTACACGTCCTGGGTGAAAGTGCTTTATGACTTTATCATGGACGATGAGCTGAGTCCGTACTCCCGTGTGAAGAGACGACTGACAGGAGATGTCAAACAAGAGTGACGAGTTAGCCAAGAGTTAGCCAAGAGTTAGCCAAGAGTTAGCCAAGAGTTAGCCATCCCTGACCACAGACTGTCTTCACCTTCCCCGGCTCCAGAGTCGAGAAGCTTCCCGGCCACTCCGGTTTTTAGCGAGTGTGTTGAAGAATTTTAATTGTGAACCAAAACGACTATTGCACATGGTCTAAACATTCAGACTCTTTTATTATAGTTTAGTGGAATTTTCCTTTTTTACATTTCAATGCTAATGTTTCTAATTCCTGCGCGGCAGATTTTAAACATTGGGAGATTAAATAGGTCAGCAGTTGATGTAGCTCTACATGCTGATTCAGTGTTCTGCTTATCTGTCTGCTCGCCGGTCATATTTAATGAATAACGCAGAGCGCACCAATAGAATATGTTCTTGTTGTTATGTTAATGCATCATATTACAATCTGCAGATCTGCACCATCAGATCAGGGTCCAGTTCCTGTAACACTGAGAGCCATTATTGTAACTCATCTCTTTTTAATAGACCCCAATGTCAGGCGCTTTGGTGTTCAGGCCTGTGTGTTTGTGCCTCCATTATAGTATATTATTTCAATTAAACAAGAAAACTGTGGCACACTTTGGCTAACAGTGAAGTACAGAGCTGTCTGTAAACATTTATATGTTTTATATATATATATATCAAATAAACTAAAACGCCTTAATAAATTAGACGCCTGTCAAACAAATGATTGTTGTTATTATTGTTAATCTAATACACACACACACACACACATATATATATATATATATACACACACATATATACACACACACACGTATATATATACAGTATATATATATACACACACACATATATATACACACACACACACACACACACACGCACACACATATATACGCACACACACACGTATATATATATATATATATACACACACACACATATATATATATATACACACATATATATACACACACACACACACACACACACACACACATATATACGCACACACACACGTATATATATATATATACACACACACACATATATATATATACACACATATATACACAGACACATACACATACAGTACCAAAAGTTTGAAACATTTTGAATGTTTTTGAAAGATGCTCAACAAGCCTGAAAAAAGGACTGTGAAATATGTGAATTTAAAATAATGGTTTTCTATTTTAATATACTTTAAAATATAATTTATTCCTGTGATCAAAGCTGAATTTCCAGCATCATTACTCCAGTCTTCAGTGTCACATGATCCTTCAGAAATCACTCTAATATGATGATTTATTATAATGTTGGAAACTTTGTGCTGCTTAATGTTTTTTTTCCTTTTTTCAGGATTAATTGATGCATAAAAAGTTAAAAAGAATTACCATTTATTCAAAATAGAAATATTTTCTAACAATATAAATCTTTACTATCACTGTTTATCAATTTAACACATTGCTGAATAAAAGTCACTGTTTTTCTAAGATCTTTTGAATGGTAACGTATATAGTTACGCCGCAGGAATGACGTCCAGTTCCATCGTCCTGAAAGCCTGAAATAATGTCATTGGTGAGCACAATATATTTTCACGGTTTATTCTACTGCATAAAATACACGAATAAAACCCCCTTGTGATTGTTAACAAGTGGCTAATGCTAACTACAGACATTAAACTTCATCAGGTAAACTCGTCTAGTCCACTTTTACAGCCATGTTGCTCTTGCAAACCATTCTCTCTCAAACCGTTAGGGAAAATTTAAAAAATCAAACAAAAAACATGTCTGGATAATTTTAGATAATTTATTTTTTAGGCTTTTAAACATTGAACATTGACCAACAAACATACATAGAGCTCATCAAATATGGTAAACAGGAGCTCAACCGTACTTGCTTGACGCGTGAGAACAAACCCTCATTGGTTCTGCTGAAGCTCAAACGTGATGCGTAACTCGAGACTGAATCTCATTGGTTCTTGCTGAAGCTCAAACGTGATGCGTAACTCGAGACTGAATCTCATTGGTTCTTGCTGAAGCTCAAACGTGATGCGTAACACGGGAATGAACCTCATTGGTTCTTGCAGAAGCTCAAACGTGATGCGTAACTCGAGACTGAATCTCATTGGTTCTTGCTGAAGCTCAAACGTGATGCGTAACACGGGAATGAACCTCATTGGTTCTTGCAGAAGCTCAAACGTGATGCGTAACACGGGAATGGGCCTCATTGGTTCTTGCAGAAGCTCAAACGTGATGCGTAACTCGAGAATGAACCTCATTGGTTCTTGCTGAAGCTCAAACGTGATGCGTAACACGAGAATGGGCCTCATTGGTTCTTGCTGAAGCTCAAACGTGATGCGTAACACGAGAATGAATCTCATTGGTTCTTGCTGAAGCTCAAACGTGATGCGTAACTCGAGACTGAATCTCATTGGTTCTTGCTGAAGCTCAAACGTGATGCGTAACTCGAGACTGAATCTCATTGGTTCTTGCTGAAGCTCAAACGTGATGCGTAACTCGAGACTGAATCTCACTGGTTCTTGCTGAAGCTCAAACGTGATGCGTAACACGGGAATGAACCTCATTGGTTCTTGCTGAAGCTCAAACGTGATGCGTAACTCGAGACTGAACCTCATTGGTTCTGCTGAAGCTCAAACGTGATGCGTAACTCGAGACTGAATCTCATTGGTTCTTGCTGAAGCTCAAACGTGATGCGTAACTCGAGACTGAACCTCATTGGTTCTTGCTGAAGCTCAAACGTGATGCGTAACACGGGAATGAACCTCATTGGTTCTTGCAGAAGCTCAAACGTGATGCGTAACTCGAGACTGAACCTCATTGGTTCTTGCTGAAGCTCAAACGTGATGCGTAACACGGGAATGAACCTCATTGGTTCTTGCTGAAGCTCAAACGAGCTGCGTAACACGAGAATGAACCTCATTGGTTCTGCTGCCAGGCCAGTAGAGGGCGATGAAACACGTGACTGAACACGTGATACGCTGTGCATGACGTCATCGTCTTCAGAGATTCACGATTTTGTTGTTTACACGGAAACCGTTTTCAAAAGTTTGTGTTTTCAGGCGCCCAAAACAGCGCTGTCGTGTGAACGAACGGCCAAACGCATAAAAAGTTTTACGTTTTTAGTTGAAACCAGTCTTGTGTAAACAGCCCCTAAAGCAGGGGTGCCCAATCCGGTCCTGGAGTCCACATCCAACACAGCTGTCTGTGATTATCAAGTGCTCCTGATTAATTAGCTGTTTTTTAATAAGCTGGGTCAGTTGTTTCATTTGTGAAGATTATCATGATTAACAAAATGCATAAGAATCATAAATTTTGTTGGTCAAAGAGAAAAATCCTATAGGGTTTTTGTTGAGGGGACCACCAACAAATATATGTCTTAAAAGGGTCATGACAAGCAATTATTTTAATTATTTTAATATGTTCCTTGAGGTTCGCTTATAATGTTAATAAAGTTTTTATTAAAAACAAAACAAAATATATATGCATAAAAAAACATTATTTTCTATCTTCATTCCCTCTGTCTGAAATGATCCGTTTTTAAGGCGCAGCTCCTTTAAGGCTTGTCTGTAAACAGCCACTGTTATGATTAGCTAATATAATTGCATAGGAGACAGTATCAACGCCCACTCGCTAGTGCACGTGAATAAGTGTTTTGAAAACATTATCATATAAAAACGTCATTTACAGGCAAAGCATAATGAAATCATTGACTTATGGTTTGTGATGCGGCTGCTGTCAGATCCAATGCAGTCGCTGCTTCATCTTTCAACAAAAGATAGTAACACTTTACTTGAAGGGGTGTGCATAAGACTGACATGACACCTTCATAAGACTGACATGACACCTTCATAAGACTGACATGACACCTTCATAAGACTGACATGACACCTTCATAAGACTGACATGACACCTTCATAAGACTGACATGACACCTTCATAAGACTGACATGACACCTTCATAAGACTGACATGACACACATCATGAATATGAAGGAGGGTTTATGCATGTTTATGACAACTGTCATTAAGTGTCATTCGCTCAATTATGACATTTTAATGCAAATATGACATTGTTTGAGATGTCTTTGTTATGACACCTTGACATAAACCAATACATCATAACCTGTCAGTGTCTTTATCATGACAACTTGACATTACTAAGACAACACAACCTGTCATAAACATGGGCTTATTTAAGGCTCATTTAGTTTGTGGATGGTTCATGTTATAACCGTCCCAGTTACTTTGCACTGGTCAAGCTACTAGATTTCAATGTAATGGGGGAATCACCTTTCGTGCAAATACTTAAATTGGTCTTAAGTTGAAAGAGGTCTATTATTAAATAAATTCTTGTACAAACGAGTGGTGTTTCTTTCAGCATGCATTCAAACTACACATTCATTATCCACAAACCCATTTATTGCAAATCATGCACACATATGTATATACAGTATATATATATATATATATACAATTCAATGTTTTTTGTCATGTGCAAGTTTATGTACGTGTGGTCCACTGCTGTCCGAGAGCATAAACAGTTCAGATAATGAAGGAAACCAGTCTTATCTGTAGATGAGCAGGTACAAAGGTCGATGGTGAGGAAGTAAGATGTGGTCCTGCGCTTGGATATTTGGTCAGTTGTAAGGTTTCACACCAAACAAACCAAAAGAGTTGCTTCAGAAGTATAAGCAGGGTGTTTCTTCATAAACACGTCAAGTCACCTTCATTTATATAGCGCTCTTAACAATATAGAGGGGTTTCACCAACGTCACGTTCTGGGCGGTAACCCGGATGCGCGGCCATTATGGAGGCACTCGGATGTAAACAACAGCATGGATTGCACTGTTTATGTACTACTGAACACATTGTTACACTAATAAACCACGGAAAAAACACGTGGTAGGTGCGAAATCATATAGAGGAGGACTTGGGAAGCAGGAGAGAGCGCAACATTTTGACAAACTAAAGTTAATATGTGGTAAAGATCCGACCGAGTTAGCTTCTCTAGCACGTAACATTACTGCAATGGTATTTATTATCCTGACATAGGATACGTTCAGATTGTCAGTCCAAAAAAGCACATGAAATCCGTTTCAAATTACATCCATATGTGGTTTGAAATCCTATTCAAATCACATATCAGGACATCAGCCTCAGTCTGAACGGTCGGATTTCGCGTGGTATGTCTTAAAATGCAAACGTCATTTATAGGAAACATGCTGAAAGTCACTGCCGAAACAATGCTGTGTTGTTGCAAAGTGCCGGACGAGCAGAAAAGTATTATTTCTGAAACCGGCGCAGACGAGCGTGGGAAAAAAGCAGTACATACCAGCCTCCTACAGTTCTGCCGCAGTAGTCCAGCGCGCCGGCTACACATTTCCATGTTGTAACATTTAAATAAGACAACATCTAACATTATATTGCAAATGCAACCCTTATTGCCATATTACCAAATAACATGCATGGACACACACGTCGGATCTGAACAGTTGCGATACACAACGCTTCATTGACA